GGACATGTGGAGAAGCCCCGGGCTTACCCTGAATAACAGATCTGAAGGATTCAGAAGGCACTGACTACAAGTTCCGTCCTGTGGGGGGAAGACACGGGTATCATGGCACCAGAGGGCAGAGGACCACGAAAGGGTGACTCCGAAAGTCCAGGCACTGCTTGTGTATTTCTGAGGGGACAGAAGACTGTGAGGGTTTGAAATGTCTGTCCAGAGAAATGACACATGGCCTTCGCTGACCCCATCTCCAATCAGATATGATCAGAAGTGATCCAAGATTAATGGAAGAATAATAAAGGAAGGTTTGATGAAATACTTGAGCAATATATGAAATGGGTGTATTCATGAGTGAGTGAAGGTTTTGTGTGTGTGTGTGTGCGTGTGTGTGTACATGTATAGTAGGGCATGTTGTTTGCCTTCTTTCCAAGGAAAACTAGCTCAAATAAGTTTTTCCTGGGAATACGTTTCCAAGGAGAGCTTTTCTATCTGTAGAAACATCCTAGGTGCAGCGCTCCTTTTTAAATTGTTTTTTGGTGCCTGTCCTGGGGTTTGAACCCAGGGCTGCATGTTCTTGCTTTGCTATTTTGGTCAAGCCTGGTGCTCTACCACTTGAGCCACATCCCTACTTCCTAACTGCTCTCCTCTTGGAGGAAGCAGTTTGGGTTTATTTGCCAGGGCATCAGTTGCTACTCTGTCACTGGCCCTAGCAGGACTCTACCTGGTCCCATCCACTGAGGAGCACTCCAAGGATCAGGCAGAAATGGGAAGCACATAATCCCCATCTGTCATGCCCAAAGTGCCCACAGCTCTGTCTTGCATCTACTCTCTTCTCCCTTCTCTATCCCCGACAGAGCAAAGGGCAAGTAGCATATGCCTTAGATGGAGACTCAGTTCTATGACTAAGAAATTAACTTTCTAGCAGGCACAGAAATCCTGTCTGATTTCCAAACATGTGCATTATGACAAATGTTGAAGCATTGATTGCTCAGCTATGAATTTCCAGAAAAAAGTTCTTCATGTGTCATCTACTTTACTTAAGCATAAATTAAGAAATGGTTCAATCTAACCTTTATCTTGGTGTATTATGGAATAATAGGAGTTGTGGAATAAAACTCAGGACTCTCGCCATGGTTTCCCAGTGTGAAGGTCTAGTCCAAGAAGAGGATAGATCTGTACACATCTTAGCCCTGTGTTAGTTATCTGAAGCCAAAGGAAAGTAACATTTTTTCAAATTCAATCAAACATTACCTTTACCTTTTCTCTGACACAAATGGTGCTGGCAGGCTGTCAATATTGGCCTCAGCATGGCTGAGGGTGGTTAATGATTATTGGTTCTTGGCTCCCAGGGCAGGAGCAGTCAGTATTAGCCCCCTCTCTACTGAAGCTATGTGTCTAGCCTTTCTAGCTGCATCCACCTGTATCACTGCTAAGAAAGCTCAGCCTATGACATGATATGGGTGAGTGACTGAGAAGGAGCTGAGAAAACAGAGACAGAGAATGTGGATGACACTGTTGGGAAACGTGGGCCCTCCTGTAGGCAGCGGAATGTCCCCACAATGGGTGGGAGGGGAGGACAAAGCTTTCTTAAAGAAGGCCAGATTCAACTAGTATATGTCTGAGTTGAGCAGGAAAGGTCAGATAAGTTGATGTTAGGGGAATGAACCCCAAGATAAGTATTCAAATATTTTTTGTTTTTTTTTTCCTTTCATACAATTGTTTCTATCATATTTATAAGATGATTTCTATGTTGCTTTGTATGTCCCTCCCCCACAGTATAACCCATACTTTCACTGTATTTGATGTTGGTATAGTTTGTGGAGGGGAAGGGAAAAAACAAATCATTTAACTAGGGATACAGGTGGACCCATTGCAACAATGAGATGTACAAGTTGTTATGTCGAAAAACAAACAACAATTTTGGTGGGGGGGGTAGGGGAAGGATTGGGTGGGAGGAGGGGAGGAGTATGGGAAGGGATGGGAAGGGGAATCAACGAGGAGGCAAAAATGCTTGATAAGAAATGTACTCATTATCTTGCCCATGTAATTGTAACTCTTACGGTATTCTCACAATAAAAAAATAAATAAATAAAATAAAAGAAGGCCAGATTCCTCAATGGATAAATACTCTGGAAATTGTCCTAGAGATTAGTGATTGGTTTGTTTGTTTGAAACAGATCCCATGCATTTCCAAAGGCATTCTAGTATCTATTTATCTTCTCATGAAAACGCTGTGTTTTCAAAACGCTTTGGAATCTGAGCATTGGACAAATTGCTTTACAAGTCAGCAGGGTAGCTGGTGATACCAATGTTTGATAAGGCTATACCTTCCTTATCCTAGCTGGCAGTAGAGTCTTTACTCTTCTATGCAATGATTAATGTCTTCATCGGCTTACACTCCCAAACACAAGATGGTGCCATACTGGTTGTAAATTAAAGAGCCAGCTTGATCAAGAGGCACGGATACCAGGAGTCTTCATGAAGCTCTGTTCGTTTTGCTTGTGTACTAAGTCAGCAGCACTTAGAGTAAGGCCATGCTCACCCCTTTCTCTCAGGGCACAGGGATAAAGCATGCTTTACAGCTCATCATAAACCAAAGAGAAAGTCTAGAAGTCACAACGTAATCAACGGTTTCCACCACACACAACCCATGTATGGTCTGGCAATGAGCTGAAATTTCTGTCCATAGGTAAGGCGTTAACCAAATACAAACTGAGTGAAGGAGTTTTGTTTGTTTGTTTTTGCATATTTCGATCTTTTAGAGAAGACCATCCCTTTGGGCTAACAAAGCGTTGATACAAAGGAGGAAGGTGTATTATATGGTCTCTAATCTGGAAGACTATACTAGAACTCTGCTTTCAAGGAGAGTTGAAGAAACCCAGGAGAAACAGGCATAAAGTTAATTAGGAAAAATCTCAAAGGAGGACATGATAACCAAGCCATTTCTGAGATACTAAGAGGAATGTAATGTGCATGAAAAATGGATGGTGTTAATGTAATTCTCTGACAATTCACACCCCCCCCCCAATCTCTCTCTTTTCTGAATCACCTGATTTTGTCAGCACCAAGGTTTGAATTCAGGGTCTTGCATTTGTTTGGCGGGTGCTCTGACATTTCAATCACTGCTTTAGTCAAGATTGTTCTGGTTATTTTGGAAATGGAGTCTCCAGGACTTTTCACCTCAGGATAGCAGCAGTTCTAAGCCAGGTGTGAGCAATTAGGACTTAGTTCTACCCTATGTTTTCAATCTTTTTTTGTTTTTGTTCAGTTCTGGGGGCTGAACTTTTGGCCTGGAAGCTGTACCTCTGCTCTTACGCTCAAAGGTAGTGTCCTACCACTTGAGCCACATAGCTACTTCCAGCTTTTTTCTGCTTATGCTGTGCTGAGAAATCGAACCCAGGGCCTCAGGCATGCGAGGCAAGCATGCTACCACTGAGTCACCTTCCCAGCCCCTCAATCTAAATATTTTTCATACAATATTTTGGAATTGCTTTAATTAGCTAGGATGGTGGCGTCTTAGCTAGGATGGTAGCTTCTTTCAGCAAGAGTGTCTTACTATTTATCAGTGCCCTACTATTTCTATAATTTTATGTGCCAATGTGTTTAACATGGCCTTTGTTAGTTATAAAGGCCTTTCCTGTTTAAGACATGAGAAATCCTAAATGATACTTGTAATGCCCTTGAAAGAAACTATTGTGTTTGTACATGCCTCATTTATTCACAAATCAAACACTGAATATTTAAGCCAGGTAAAACTACCAGGAACAATGTCCCTCATTATTTAAAAAATGCAATTATTCTGCTTAGTTATGTTTTAAAAATAGCTGACATTTAAAATAATTGATGAATATGTAATTTGCTAATCAGTAATGGGTAGTTCCCAGGGAGTTATCACCATTAATTTCATAATTTACTGTTTCGGAGGAGTTTCTTGAATGCAAAGATTAAAGCCAGGAAGCAGAGAGAAATCACTCTAGAATGACATTATCCTATTAAATACCCATAATACTTAACAGCAACAACAATTAAACCTCCAAAATGAAGTCAATGTATCGACAAGCCATTGGATGAGTTACAGATAGGATGTTTACATGTTGTAATTTTCTCCATACTAAATTCCACATTCACAGCCATGTACTCAAATGAACATCGGCATAAAATACTATACTGTAAAGAATTAAATTATATGTTAGCTTTTGCCTTTATTTCTTGTCACTTTTCTCCAAGTGTTAATAGAGATCCCATTTACCATGCATCAACACTCTTTCTGAGAACATTTCGGATTTGTTGGTGTAGAGAGAAAAGCCATTTATTTAAAGATTGCCTTATTAACCTACAGCTTTTGGTAAATATCTAGATTATCTGGTCAGGCTATTTGTTTCTATGGCCTAAGAAAAAAAGAAATACTAGCTGCCTTATTCAATCCAAATGAGTTGGTATATGAATATTTATAAAGACATCATTATTCACAGTATCTTACAATCATGCTCCAAGCTAAATAAAAATAAAAGTAAACTGCCAGAAATATTACAGTATCATAGGAGAAGAGCTAAAAGATATGTACAAATTCATTGACAACATCTTTGCAAGTATTATGGACAAAACATTTAAAAAGAAATTTACATAAAACACAGTAAATAAATTTATCAAATGTTGATAAATTTTTAGAGACAGTATAAAAGTACACAAAACATGGAAGAGAGAAAGAATATTTTTTAAAATAACCACTATGCCGATACAGAGAATACATTGTTACGTTCATATTACAGAACGATGGAACCAGACACAAACAGCAAAGGAAGTTTTGCCAGTCACAGGAAGGAAAGACATTCCTTTTGGGATGGAAACACAGACTACCAGGCCTCATTCCCCCAACCCATACACACGGAGAAAAATAAAAGCAAATGCAAACGTTGTCTACAGCAACACATGACAGACAGAGGTGAGAAGCATTTGGCATGTTGCATCACAGGAAGTCAATCACGATTGGCTAACGCTGATGGTACCTGGCTCTGTTGCAGGTCACTGGTTTGCCTGAGAGGAGTCACCGATGGAGGAGGCACGCCTGATGTAGAAGCAGATCGGCCTAGTTTGCAGCTGATTTTAGGTTCTGTGGACAAGGCAGGAAGACAAGGTATTTGCTGAGCAACATCGACAGTGAGGAAAGCTTTTGTTTTGTGACACACTCCGGGAACCTGCAAAATGTTTCTGATGCTTGCTAATAATTTAGTAGGAATTAAACATTGTTCATCACAATTGGCTTTAAAGGGTCTTTATTCACAAAGTAGCTTCTGGGGAAAACAGAGGAATACCCTTTTCATTTTATCCAATTTGGGGTTCATTTCTATGCTATGATTACTGGAACAATCATACCCCATTAGGACAGAAAGCAAGTAACCAGATTAGTTTGATACTTTATTTTCATCTCTGATCTATAGATTCCTACATCCTAAACTCTTATCTGAGCTTCTCCAAGTTTGTTCTTTCTTTCCTTCCTTCCTTCCTTCCTTCGTTCCTTCCTTCCTCCTTCTCTCCTTCCTTCCTTCCCTTCCTAGTTTCTTCCTTCCATGACTACACCCACCATGCTTTAAATGTAACAGGTTACAGCTTATGTCTAATTTATATAAATGTGATAAATGCTTTTTAAGACCTTTGTAGTGTTTCAAATATTGATGTTGTACATAAGGACTTGCCTTAAGAGAGAACACAGTCTATAAGAAACACACATCCCAAACAAAAATGATTCACTGATAATGGGTACAATAAGCTGTCTGCACATCCAGCTCTGCTTGCTTCCTTACAATGAAAATCCAAATGCAGCTTCTTTCCAGTGTCTTGGATCCCCGTTTACCCAAGAGATAGAAGGAATATCTGCCCCATTTTTCTGGAGAGATCTTGTACATTTCCTTTTCCTTCCTCTATAAAGTTAGACCTACTTCCAGTCTGCTTTTTCTTTGTGATGGCTCTTATATTCACACCAGCCCCATGTTTCAGAAACCTCTTTGATGTTCTTTCACAATCTCTTTGCTTAAAACCAACCAAAAAACTTCCCGTTTGTGTCATATCTAATGTCATAAGAAGTTTAGATTCTGAGATCATGTACCCTTGGGTTCAGTCAATCCCATTTCCCATGGTTTGATAATCCACAAGGTAAATAAGCAAATCTCTGCTCTCAGAATCCTCTCTGGTCTGTGTCTTTTCATCACCCCAAGTTGTTCTGCTCGACGTTTAACACACTGAAACTCCCCTGTAGTCTAAGATGTGATTCACGGTACACTTCTATTATGAAGCAGCCTCTGATCTTGATGTCCTCTTTCTCTCTCCCACACCGCCTTGGCACGTAAGTGGTGCTTACACAACTTCCTGTGGTTTTGACCATTTCTTTCCTCATAGAGTCCACATGGTGAGTGAATTATGCTGTACTTTTCCTTCACTAAAGATATTCACAGTAATCTAGTACAGGCCAACACAACTGCTACAAACCAAGGCAATCAAGTAACACCCTCATTTTATTAGACCTGGATTCAAGTTCTGACTTTTCTTCTTCTTGAAGGGGTACTTCTTATGTAGACTCACACTTTAGAAAACCCCCGCTTACTTTTGTATAAGTGAAGCAACAATCTGCTTACCCATTCTTCAAAATACCACTGGATTCTCACTGAGGCTGTTTATGTATGATATAATGACATAGCTTAAATATTGCTTTTGGCAATTAACCAGTAGAAAGAAATACACACAGGCCTAAAGGAGCTATCTCTCAGCAAGCACAGTGTCCACTGGAATCTTGGTGGATAAGTCTTCAAGAAGAGCCATTATTTCCATAGGTTCTATCATTGGATCAGCACCTTTAGTCACACTGAGGATGCCAGTTAAGTACATTTGCTTATCAAAAGATGCCACAGCATGTTCATTTACTGTAAGGGTTTTTGTTTTTTTTCAAATTTATGCTGAAGTTTTTATCTGATGAAAAGAGGTTACCAGATAGATTTGCAGGCCTTTTATGGGGCCTAATGTGCCTAAGGATTATTTTCCACTGCTGAGTTTTCCAGTGAGACCCTGGCTTAATCATCATCTTTCAAATATAGACAAGGATATCTCTAATGTGCAGTTTGAGCCTCAGTGAAAGCCAAACAAACTCAAAATGTCATCATGACTTGGAAAGCTTTGGTTGCTCGCCTGGATATCAGTCCAGATAAAGTCTAGGCTTGTGATGCTCTCTTGGCATTGTCATATAAACCACTAGATAAATACCCCCATGGACTAGTTCTAGCATCTGATCACTGAGAGCCTAGAAGTTCCATCCTAGCATGCTCATATAGGTAAGGTCTGACTCTATAGACCTAGATTATCCCCATAAATATATTAAGTACATACGCACATACAGGGAGATATCTGTCCATGCACACACACACACACACACACACACACACACACACACACACACACACACACACACACACACACACACACACACACACACACACACACACACACACACACACACACAGAGTAACATTTACGTTTAGCAGTATCATACATTAGGGGCATTCTTTTTTTAATTGTGGGATTTTTCTCTTCCTTTTTGACTCTTGCAATGTCATACGAATTATAACACAAATGCATCTGGAATTTATTGTGGCGTTTGTGTGGCCAGGTTGATGATGATACAAATCATTACGTAGTTGTATCCACTAAAGTTTCTTTGGCCAAAAGGACCCTAGGGGTGAAAAAAAGCCAATAAATCTCAAGAAAAGATCCTAATAATGATTAAGCTCTTTGAAGATTCTCTAGACTGGTAACATCAAAGTTTAACTTCTCAGTTCACCAACCTCAGGAAATGCAGTCTCTCTCAGATTTGAACAGTGAAATTTAGAACCATGACATTGGACACACAAATTGGTGCCTTGTATTTTAATGTAAAATTTGCCTAAGAATGCGGAGGGCCAAAATAAATAGTGAGTCAAGTATTTACCCATTCCTGAAACTGTCTCAAAAGATATACAAGATAGAGCTTTCCTCCCCTAAGAAAATCCATTTCATCAAGAGACGATTATGAAGCTGTAACATACCTGCTCTTCCTATATCCAAGAAAAGGCTTTCTTTTGAAAACTATCAATAACATTCTAGACACAGAAGATGCTACAGTGAAGACCTCGGGTGTGTAAACATTAATAAAAAGAAGCAAGAGCAACGTAGTAAATATGGAAACAGAGACAGAAATGGAGATAGGGAGGAAGGAAGACAAAATCAGAATTGAGGAAGGAGGAAGGGAGAGAAAGAAGAAGGAGGAGGAAGAGAGAGGGAAAGACACTCCTTTTGATTCCTAGGATTAACTATTATCAAGTCATTATTATGAGATGTTTCTGGATTCATAACTAATTATTATTCTTTTTATTAATTGTGTATTCTCTGAACTGTGTTCACTTTTGAGTTAATTTTTCTTTTTAATGGATGCAATCGTTCAGTGGTTTGTTTATAATGTCTATTTTTTAAGATAATCATGTCTGTGCCCAGGCCCAGAGTTCAAGCCCCAGACAAAAAAAAAAGATAATCATTTCTCATCTTCCCTTCAGTGGATTTTTAGTGAATGTCTGTTCAGGTTTATGCTCCTCCTATTGTTACAGGATGGTCTCCAAGTTTCCTGCTATTCTGCTGGGTTCTCTTCACTTTTGGAAAGCACACAGATGACTATTTTTCCTTAGTGCATCTGCACAGTCATAAGAAATCAGTGCATTTTCACCAAAAACAAAGCAACCCACTTTCATCTAACCTCACAGAAACAAATTGGTCAAAATGGGGGTAGAGCTAGCTTTTCTGCATCCATTTCTTTTTTCAAGAGGTAGAGAATGTTCCCTAGATAAGTCATCCTGCCAACAGTTTTACACAGGGCTACACAGGGATAGGAGTAGGCCATTCTTCCAGTGTATCAACATACACATATTCTGAACTTTAATTTGCAGGCAGGCGTTTTTCAAAATATGACTTACATTAGTTAAGATGAACTGGTACCTGATTAAAAAGCAGAAGCTTAGTTTTGCATAACTTAACTATAGTCCAACTATAGTCAGGTAGTTAAAATTTTGTTTCAAAAACCTGGTGACCACAAATTTCTGACAACAAATTTTTTCTGCAGTTGCTGAGCTAGCACCTAGGTCAAGAAAGAAGTTAGACCATGAGAACCTAACTTTATCAGACATATCTGTGGAGGTTTTTGAGGTGTTTCTTAGCCTGTACCTTCCCCTTAAATACCTTTTCTGAACAAATCTTGAGAAACCTCTAAAATTTAACAACAACAACAACAAAATGAATTTAAGTCCAAACTTCAAGCTAGGACCCATTCCTTGACAGTGGACAAAGGAGAAAACAACCATCCCAAACATCTTATCACTACCCACGCCCAGGTTCTATCTATCATATGGATTGTGACTCCTGGGTAATCATGTAGGCATATCATAAAATATTGTAACCACAGTTTGAGACAAATGCCCTGTAAGAAACAAAGAAAGGAAAGAAAACTTTTTATCATATATATACTAAATGAATTTTGGGGCTTTTGTATTTTTATCATTTTGCTTGGAAATCATTGAAGTATGAGTCATCCCATTACTTCATTATCGGCTATGATTGCTGGATTGTAATCATACATACTGAGACATTCTTTTAATTTTTCTTCTCAGTTTTATTGGTACAGGATCTCTCTATGTAGCCCAGGATGAGCTTAAATTCACAAGCCTTCAGCTTCAGCTCCCTAATACCTAGGATTACAGACATAAACCACCATACCTGATCCTGCATTCAGGAATTCTTAAAGTACTGACAATCTAGTCTAGAAAGTGTTCTCAACTGCAGTGGCATTATTCAGATCATAAACTAGACAATTAAGTTCACCTCATCCATACAATCTGTACTCATTTTTAAATTTTCATTAGTGTCAGTCTCGTCATTTCTTTTAGATATTTTTACTACTCTTTTACTATTAAATATTTTTATAGAATTTAGAGTAGGTGACAGGATTCGATACGGTGAGTATAGTTCAAAAGTGATCAATCAAATCTGATAAACATGGATCATCTTGTGACTACTGAGAAAATATGGAGCAGAAACGTCTGG